GTCCAAAATATGCAAAAGAAGATGAAGTTGGGTTTAGTTGGTGGTCTCTTGCACAACTCCTCCTTATTTTTCCTTCAAATAACCAAAAACACCAAAAGGAGCTCAAGATATGAAGATAGAAGGTTAGGGTTTGTAGAGGATGATTTTGGGAGTGATGAGAGGGGGGGGGGGTGAGGGTGGTCAAAACCTTAGCCCTCATGTTCCTTATATAGGGCCTAAGCCCGAAACTTACGGTCTTGTGAACAATGTGCCACCGCATCTGACCTCATTAAACTGCAACGTCGTGGTGACATATCACCACCGCACCGTGGCAACCCATGCACCACACATTATGGATAAGCAGAACTCCATAAATCCAAAACTTAAACATAAAATAATTTTCAAGATTAATACCTGGAATTTAGGATGTTACATGAGGTCCTATAACCAACAACAAATCATGACCACACACTTTATAAAAGGTCACACCATAAAGTAGCTAAAAGCACAATCGCACTAACAACATTTTTCATAAAACCTAGATTTATCCCCTTAATAGAAGTATAAATACCTTTTGTATGGATGATTTTTAGTAACCTATAATACCTCTTACACTTATTTTTACACAAACATTCTCGAGTGTCAGTTGACAATTATTGAATTTCTAATGGATTACGAATTTGATATATACAATTATAATTTAAATGATTAAGGCCATATGCCAACTATACAATATAGTTTATACACTAACACCCTTATATAGTTTTATCATACATACAAGGTCACTCACACTCATGTATAAAACAAAGTGAATGTTAATCTCTTTTTGCTTAGTAGCTGATGTTGAACTAGATTTGATGATGTGTATATTGTACAAATTTTTTCACACTATACAAGCGTGATTTGGTAGTGAGACATGAAAGTTCTTAGAGTATATTGTGAATCCATCGGGTTTTGGCAACATCATTTGGCACCTTGTGATGTTCCACCTCAACATTGGATTTTAGAAATGACATCCTGGAGTTTCTAGAACCATGAGACGAGGTTGTTCCCCACAAACACAATAACCAAATATGGATCTATGAGTGACCGAGCATCCAACCCAGTCAACTTTAGAGTAAGCGACAATAGTCAATATATGAAATGCATGTAAGCATATACCACGAAAATAATGCAGAATGTATTTTTAGATCATGAAGGTGTTAATAATCTACTTAAGTAAATTAGTTAAGGGGGTCATGAGAAGATACCATCCATATATAATAGAAAACACGTAATGACACGCGTCTTGAAGGAGATAGAGGATAGAGAAAAGAGAGGAGAGATTTTAGGAGTATTGTGATACCAAGATAATTACTATAAATGTAAATAAAATTAATTAAGGTTATGGGACAACAATACAAATATAAACTAATAAGGCTATACAACATGGGTTATACATTAATATCTCTATCTACCTTGGGTTAGAGCATAATCTTGGGTCCATCGTGGATTATGAATGACCCTAATTAACTTTCTTCAATGATCGTAGGTCCCAAATATACATCATTTCACCCTCGAGAGACAACACTCTAAACTATTCTGGGACTTGGTCGCATCTTAAACAAATATATATATATATATATATATATATATATATATATATATATATATATATATGGATTTTCTAATATGTGTCCTAAGGGAACATATAAGAAGTATTAATTAATCATAATTATTACCATAATTAAATATTAAATACATTAATTATAAGAAATATTATCATAATTAAATGTAAAATTCATTAATAATTTCCATAATTAATGCATTTCACATTTAATTATGGTAGTATTTTTCAAAATTAATACTTTTTATATGTGCCCTTAGGGCACATATTAGAAAATCTCATATATATATATATATATATATATATATATATATATATATATATATCATTTGAATTTGAAGGTATATATATGCCAGTGTCGTAAGTCACAACTCAAAGCACTTGTATACAACTATTTATTTTATAAAGAGGGGTCACAATTCATGACACATCACGACAAAAGTACACGAAACAAAATGCACTTGGTATGAAACTGAAATTCGAATTCGTGTACATGTTCGTAATGTGTTTGTGTCAAGTGTAAAAACACCAAATATCGTATTGTATCGTGTTCATGTTCAACGTTCAACACAAAGTTGACACGGTATTAATATTTGTTTGTCATGTTTTGTAAGATTTATTATGAGTTAGATAAACTAAATGATTATTTTATTTTATCTTTTTGTGTTTGTCATGTTGATCATTTCAATCGTATTTTAAATTGATTGTTTTCGTGTTAGTTATAAGCAAAATATACTATTGTGTTGTGTTCATGTTATAAAATTCTTTTTGTGTTATATCGGATAAAAACTCGATGTGACTGTCTGAGTTGCCACCTTAATTATAATATGATATGCATTCACATGTATCTAAGTGTACGCATGCTTTTTTTGCTATGTTTAAATAAGATAATTCCATGACAAAAGTTAGAAAAAGAAAGTTGGATGGCATGAAGATTATACTCTTGTGGTGTAAAGAGAAAATCAAGGGTAAAGAAACGAGATATTACATATTGAGAGTTAGAAAAAGGAAGTTTGATTGTTTGGTAGTGTTTAAATAGATGTATTATAAAAAACGATAAAATTGCAAAAATGGTCCCTGTGGTATGCATTTGTTCCGAGATTTGATCCAAAACTCAATGTTTTTGGTTTCGTGGTCATTTTGAGCTAGTTTTATTGCGGATTTGGTGTCTCGTAAACTGAAATGACTTTAATACCCTTGGGGTATCTATTTTCTATTTTTCTTTCATTTTTTAAATATAAAATTTGTTTATTTATTTAAACAATAAAAAAATCTCTCTCTCCCTCTCTCTCTCTATACACACACATACACATGCACACCGTATACTCACCTATACACTTTTACTTCATCTTCTTCCTATTTCCTCTTTTATCTCTTAGAACTCTCCTAAAAATTATAACATTACACATAAACATACAAAGGATGTGATTTGAAGCTCTCTTTTGGGCATATCTTTAAGATCAATGACTTGAATCATTGAATTAACACCTTCAGGATTGAATTAAAGCATCCTGATTCCTCTTTCAAGAACTTGAACTCTCAATCGAAGAAATTTATGTAACTTTTCGTAATCTTCGAAGAAGGCATAAGCATTGTAGCACACAGGTGGCCTTCCCCATAGAATCTGTTCATGTAGGCGTCGTCGCCTTTGAGTTCTTCAAACCATTGTCTTCATTCGGCGGCGCAGGATACCGGAGAGTAGCCAAAGCGGAATCATAATCGGAGCTCTGTTTGCACTACCCCCGACCTTACCATGTCGAGTCCTTAATTGCAGATATAACCAATGATGACGAAGAGCTCTCGTTTTTTCAAACTAGTCCAACAAGTTTATGTCAAAACTCTGTAGTTTTTGATGAAGAAGTCGTGAGTGGGCCTTTTAGAAAATGAAACAGATGAAGAAAGAAGTGTTGGTATCAGTGATGAGTTGTCTTTCTATAGCCTACCGGAATCTAAATCGGAAGAACACAATAGTCAAGAGGAGGTAGAGATGATATCATCAAGTGTTTGTCCAAAATCGACATCTAAATCTTTTAGATTTGATGTAAATACACCAACAATACTTCATTTCTTTGATTTTTGTAACACTCCGCTCCCGAGTTCATTTTAAGGAGAGAAAAGAAAGGAAATTGATGGAAGTGAAAGTAAAATAAAAGAAATTGGTGTTCCCGAGTTTCATTAAATGAAAGAAGTGGAAGGAAATGGAAAGATCACTTTCCCTCCTAACTTTCCTTCCGATTTGGAAGGATTTGGAGAGAAAGACCAAATTTTAAATTTTCCTTCCACTTCTTTCCAACTCGGGAACACAAAAGACGAATATTGATTCCTTTCTTTTCTCTTCTTTTCTCTCTTCACTTTCTTTTCTCTTCTCTTATTATCTTTGCTACAAATCAGGAGCATGGTGTAAAGTAAAGCACACCCAAATTGATTTTAGAAATGAAAACACACAAAGATACACAATTTCATATTTTATTTTAGGGAATATACTTGATGAAACCCACAACTTGAATTTAGATTAGAAGATGAAATGTAAAAGGTGATAATCTGTGATTTAGGGTTTATAATTTAAACAATGGTGCAGAGGGTCTTGATGGGTTAATGGTGGTGACGATCCAATGGTCCCGGTAGTTGAAAAAACGACAAAAAACCCTCAGCTCTTTCTCTTGCACATGTGTGCTCTCACCCCCACCCTCACTTTTCTGGTGTGTATCAAGAAAAACAAACAATAGTGGCTTCCTTTTAAACTTAACTTTATGCAGGTTTAATAGGGTGGAAAATATCATATGTAGGCTAGATGGTTGGTGGGTGCTTAGTAGTGAAATTGATGGAAGAGTGGTGATGGTGTAAGGTGTTAATTTATGGTGGTGGATTTTTCCAATTAAGGCTTCCGATGGAAGTTAGAGAGAGAGAGAGAGAGAGAGAGAGAGAGAGAGAGAGAGAGAGACCCAAATTAATTAATTTTTTTATATTTAAATCAAATAAAAAAACATAAAAAAATATATATCATAAGGGCATTACAGTCATTTCAATTTATTGAGGGACCAAAACCACAAATAAACTACAGACCATAAAACCAAAAGAATCGAGGTTTTGATAAAACCTCGAAAAAAATCATACCATAGGAACCATTTTTGCAGTTTTTTCTATGAAAAAATGAAGAAAAGCGTATTACACCATAACGTGAAGGGGAAAACGTGTAACTTTTACGCTCAATTGTCAAAAGCTTCGCCATGACATTATAATACGACGGCGTTTGATATATTTGCCTTGCTTATTGTATAACGTTTCGCGGCGACTCTCACATAAGCACATAAAACAGCGATCAACAAAAACCCTTGTTCCGGTTGTTGCCTCTTCAAGAACATTTGCGAAGCAATTAAAATCTTCAAGAAGAAATCATCAAATTCGAGTTTCGTTAATGGAGAGATCACCTCTGCATAATTTCAATTTACCGCAAGGATTGATGTGGGGGACACAAAGGTTTTTGAGGTGCATGAACGTTAATCCAATTCGTGCAATGACGGCCGTTGATAATGATGAATCTTCAGATTCAGAGGAGTATAACAACAATCGTTCTATCGAAAACCGTCATGCAGAAGTGGAGGTGTTAGAGATGCCAGCAGGAGGAAGATCGAGTGATGATCCGAGGCGGAAGAGGGTGCGATTTAACCTGAAACCATTGTTTCTAGCACCAGCGCCACCGCAATCGCCGGATATCGGTTCGGTTAGAAAAGCTACATCGGAAGATGACGACGAAATCTCGATAACTAGAGAGAAGCTGGTGATGGATTTTCATACGGAGGTAGGTAAGTTGAAAGAAGCGATTCTGAAAAACAATACTCCAGATGACGTCGAGATTGCACCGAGTAAGGGCTCGCCGCCTGTGAATTCAGAAGCTGTGCAGAATTCTGAAAAACAATACGACAATCGACCGCCACCGCCACCGCCAGTCGCCGAAGAAATCAATGCATCGGTTGATGATCCGATGTCGGAGAAGAAATCAACGAGGCCGAAAAGGAAACTTGAGAAGAAGGAAGAGAGGGTTAAATTCTCAATTGCGCTATCACGCAAAGAAATCGAGGATGATTTCATCGCCATTACGGGGAAGAAGCCACCACGAAAACCTAACAAGCGGCCAAAAAACATTCAGAATAGATTACAGGTACGCATTACTTAATTTCATTATCCAAATTCATCAGTTCAGATCAATTCGACCCAATTTCAAAAGATTTAACGATTCTTGTTTGAATTTCTTTTTACAGGTTCTATTTCCAGGATCACGGTTATGTGAAGTTCATCCTGATCTATACAAGTAAATTAAAATGCAAATGCGCGATAGATAAATGTTTGCTGGTGTTTTAGAGCTCAGATTACAATTAAGGTATAATTGACATATAATGTTGTTTGTGAATTACCTTATCTAGGGTTTAGTATCTGTTCAAATTGTTCATCACAGATTCGTAATATTTAAAATTTCAGTAGGGTGATATATGGTTTTTCAGTTCTTGATTTAATCACCTTAAAAGTAATTTAAATATGATTATAAAGAAATTTTTTGGGTAACTATATTGATATGGTTTTTGGTCACAAAGATATGATGCATGGTTAATTTTAGGATAAAAGTGATTATATTTACGTGGGATATTTTGGGTTGGATATAGAAAGCTTTCATTAAATTTAAATGAAAATTCGTATGCGTGTTTGTAGTAATGCAAATATCTTAACGGTTTAAATGCCAAAATAAAAATAAGATTAATGAATAATTAAATACATGTCCTTAATTTTAGTAACAATACATATGAAATAAAGTATAGTATTATTTACATATAAATGCATTATATGAAAAAGGTTGGATGTAGTATATGGATACTTGGATTCTTGCGCATGAAGTAATTTTTTTTTTTTTATCTTCGTTTATTTTACAAAAATTTATAATTAAGATCAGCAATCTATAATTTGTTTTTATTACAATACAAAGTTGGAAAGATAAAATAACAGAATAAATTATTTTTTGTCAACAAGTTAATTTATCAATAGAAAATGTAAACAACTAAACGAAGTTTGAACTTGATTATATGGCACGTTTACGTTCAAACACATTCTTTGTTATTCTTAGATAAGATAATCTCTCTCAAAACTTAGGTTATGTTTAAGAGACTAAGTAAAAGATAGTTGATAAATGATAAAAAATTAACTTATAAATTAGACAATAAATTTAAAATGAAAAAAATATTTAGAATATGATTCAATATAAAAACACAAATAAATATATATTTCATTAAATTAAAATAAGTGTTAAATAATTATTATCCAGTTATTTTTGTTTGCGGTGTCATATATATAATATTATGTATAAAACCATCAAAATTGATTTTATTTCGATTAAAAAACACATTTTTTATTGTTAACTTATTCCTATTGCTTTTGAGTTCATATTATTTCTGATTTCATAATTTATCCCCAACATCTATGTATTTCGAATATGTTGCTTATAGTAGACCTCTAGTAGGCTTCGTAACTTTCTTTGACACCTACCATATGTATACTTGTATGGTTCTTTTTGAAGTGTTATGAAAAGAAATTTGTTAGCTTTTTAAATGAACAATTTCAATATTTCACAATAGTTTTCTATATTAAATTTTAATATGAATGCTTATAGGTAGTTGATAATGTATTCTTATATATGGTTTGTGGTGCAAAATTAAATATTGAAAAAACATCATAAATGGTCCCTGTGGTTTCCCAAAATCTAAAGTTTAGTCCCTGTGGTTTAAAAACCTCATAGATGGTCCCTGTGTTTTCAAAACTTTTGACGATTGGTTCTTATTGCTAACTCCGTTAAGTTTTGTTCGTTAACTGAATGACATTTTCGTCATTTCACTACCATAGGGACCATTTATGATGTTTTCTTAAAGAAAAATTAAATATAACTATTTAATATATACACACACACACACACACACTCTCTCTCTCTCTCTCTATATATATATATATATATATATATATATATATATATATATATATATATGTATATATATATATATCACTAAAACCAAAAATAGTTTTTAAAAAAGCAGAATATTAAATTTGAATTGATATCAAACCAAAACTGAATCTAAAATCAAGTTATCTGAAATCAATTTTTCCAAATCGAGGCTCAAATAATTAGTTGACATCAAGAGCAATTTCAAACAAACCCAATAACAACAATCGAGATCAACCATGATCCCAGTGAATGAAATCTCAACCATAGAATGTTGGCCACGGATATGAATTAGAGCAGATTAACTATCTCTCTCTCTCTCTCTATCTCTATCTCTCTCTCTCTCTCTTGTCGACTTTCATCTCCCAACCAAAAGCTTAACTCCAAATTTTCCTTAAAGATTTTAGTTTGGGGGTCTGAAAATCAAACCAAATATAGCCATAAACCAGAAATACATTAACCAAATCGAATCACCCATCTGAAATACATTAAAAGAACTGGGTTAACAAAGATTAGAGACATAGAGATAAGCAAAATAACATATATGAAAGAGGGAATGACATGGAGCCTTCGGTGGTGTTAGATCGACTGTAAAGCCAGATCCATGGAAATAAATGGAAATCAGAACCTTCATCATCTTCTTCTCCGTTTCTCAACTGTTGATCTGAGCCTGGCAAGTATCGATGAGTAGTATTGAAGGTCGGTGAATGGGATTGTGGAACGGTTTCTGCTCCGATTTTCTTCTAAGGATAAAAGATGAATACGGTGGTGGTGACTCCTATGAACTTCATCTCCCCATATAGATCCAGAAATCGAACTGTTTCTGCTCCGTTTTTCTCTAGATTTTTCTTTCCCTTTCATTATTGATGATTTAGATTTTGGGTGAAGAATAGAACCAAGCATGAACGATGGCGTGTTTCCAGATTTGTTAAAGTGTGTTTCTGTGTTTTAATAGAGTAGTTTTTTTATTTGATTTCATTCTTGGAGAGAGAGAGAGAGAGAGAGAGAGAGAGAGTTTATATATTAAATAATTATTTTTAAAATGTGTCTAGTGTTTGTAGTAATGATGTAACCGACAAAATGATTGCAAATGTGAATGAAATGAGCTTTTCTGGGTTTTTTTGTTCAATTTCTTTATGATATAAACATTTAGCACACGCTAATGTTATAAACATTGAAAAAAAATGAAAACTAAAGGGATGTTAAAATATGACACAAAAGATTTTGAAAAATGTGAAACTTGTGTGAAATCAAATTTACAAAGAAACCTTTTCCATTAGTTGAGAGAAATACATCATTACTTGAGCTGATTCATTATGCTATATGTGAGTTAAATGGAATACTTACTTGAGGAGGAAAAATGTATTTCATCACATTTTGTGACAAATCAATTCAATATCTACATGTTTGTCTTCTAAGATCAAAATATGAAACTTTTGATGCATTTAAACTATATAAGGCTGAAGTAAAAAATCAACTTGAAAGACACATTAAAATTCTTCGCCCCGGATAGAGACGAGGACAATTTCAACCAAGAGTTTGACACATTCTGTGAAGAGAATGTAATCAAACACGAAAGAACTTCACCTTATACTCCCTAAAAATGGTTTAACATAATGAAAGAATAGAACCCTTTGTGAGATGGCCAATCGCATTTTCAACCAATCATCTTTACCAAACATATGTGAGGGAAACACTATTGACTACTTACTATGTTCATAATAGGATCACTATCCATGTGATTGCTATAAGTCCGTATGAGTTCTGGAAAAATTGAAAACCCAAGCTAAACTATTTGAGAGTGTAGGGGTGTGTTACCTACTATAGGACAACTGATCCTAAGAGATCCATATTGGTAGTTCGAGCTATGAAGAGTGTGTTCATTGGATATGCTCATAACAACAAGGCTTATCGATTATTGGATAATGACTCAGTATTGTCATAGAATCCAAAGACGTGGAATTCTTCGAAGAAAAGTTGTCAAAAGATATTGAAAACTTGAATCCAATAAAAGTCCTAAGCACTTCTCAAGAGAATGTTCGACCTTCTCTGGTTATAGAACAACCAATGAGAAATACAAGGTCAAGAAAAGAGAAAAATCTAGGAGATGAATTTTACTCTTTTAGTTGAAGGTACTCAAAAGAAAGTGATGATAGAGGTCATTTTTTCCATCAACTTAGATGATGATCCTAAGACCTCCACTGAAGCCATGTCATCTAGAGATGCTCCTTTGTGGAAAAGGAGCCTTCAAGGATGAAATGGATTTAATTATAAGTAACAAAACTTCATAATTGGATTATCTACCCAAAGGGAAGATACCCTAGAATCCAAATGGATATTTAAGAGAAAATACCATCTAGATGGATCCATATATGCCTATAAAGCAAGATTAGTTGCTATAGGGTACAAACAACAAGAATGGATCGATTATTTTGATATCTATGCCCCAGTTGCTAGTATTGTTCGATCAGAACTCTCTTAGCAATACCATATTTGAAAGGATTGTACATTCATCAAATCGATTTGAAAACAACCTTTCTGAATGGTTATCACAAAGAGGAGATTTACCTGGAGAATCTTGAAGGATTTGTGATACATGGACATGAAAATAAAGTGTGTAGATTTATTAAATCCTTATATGGTTTGAAACAAGCTCCTAAATAGTGGCATGAGAGATCTGACACTATTGTGATTGCTTTCGGATTCTAGCATAATAGTGTTGACAAACATATTTATTCCAAATACACTTTCGAATACACAATCATTATTTGTATTTATCTCAATGATATGTTGATCATTGGTACTCACCTAGGTCTTATTAGACGAATAAATACCTATCCTCAAAATTTAAGATGAAAGATCTTGGTGAAGTTGATTCAATTCTTTGTATCAAGGTGAAAAGGACAAGCAATCATATTTCTCTGAGTCAATCTCATTATTTAGAGAAAATTCTAGCTATATTTCAATATTTGAATATTAAGGAATTCAACACTCCTTTTGATTCAAGTGCGAAACTGAATGTGGATTCTGGTTGAGAAGTGGCTTAACTAGAATATGCAAGTTAAATTGAGAGCATGATGTATGCAACACATTACACTCAACCTGGCATCGCATCCAGTATAAGCAAACTAAGTCAGTATACTGTCATCTCGGGACGGAGCACTAGAAGGTAATGAGTAGAGTATTGGGATACCTGAAAAGGAAAAGTACCTTTGAGTTGACGTATTCGTCATCTAACGGAATACTAGAAAGGTATTATGATGCTAGTTGGATAGATCACGCCATTGATTTAAACTCCACAAGTGGATGGATTTATACTCTTGTTGGTGGTGT